TAGCAATGCGGGGGATACTCTCTGCGGTGAAAACTGTATTACCAATGCAGCACTAGCCGCGCCTTGTTCCGATCATATTTAGCCAAGTTTCAATGGCGCCACAGCCACACAGAGCAGATTTTTGGGCACTGTTTGCAACTTCTGTGTCAGAATTTTCAGATATAAAGGCCTCAATTCTCGCTGAGTGTGTGGGGCTAAGGAAAGCTGCCTATGTGATAAAAGGTTGATTGTGACAAGGGTAGATTATGTCTTGAAAGCACTTTAAATGTGTGTGTGTCTGTGTGAGTGGAAAGGGGGGGGGGGGAGAGAAAGTATTACTCACATCTCATATTTAATACATTTTATTTTATTAGACCTTGTATATTTTTGTATTACATTTTCTCATATTACATTTTCTTATACCAATGTATCTAAAAGATTTGCATACAGTGCATTCTTTGTACATGATGGATATACAAGAATCTGTGAAAGGTGTCCTTTATTAAACAATGCATCTATGTATGGATAATAAAAAGTAAATGAAACCGGAATGTTGTAAAAGAGGTATTACATATATACACAACACCAGATAAAAATGATTTTTGAATGTTTAGATATTTGTGTGAATGTATATAGAATTAAATATCTGTTCAATAAATCAGATGCCATCTCCACAATTAAGGTTAGCTGCACTGGATTTCTAACTCAGTCGTTGTGAACCTTTTGCTTTCTTGCCTTTGACTTTTCCTCCAGTGGTTTTAAAAAGAGAGTTATGTCTTTTAATATGTCTGATATATTTCAATTGCCTCTTTTTGTAAAAATGAAATATTTCAATTGCCTCTTTCTGAAAATTTCTTTCGGTAATCCTTTTCAGCCCCAGCTTCTCGAGAATCTCTATATTTGATTGTTTCTGTTTGAAATACAACATATACTGGAACTACACATACTTCAATCAGTGTTCTAGCTGTTTGTTCATTGTCTGGGTTTCTGCACCATACAGCAGAGTTGAGTATTCAAAACGCTTGACGATTCTTATTTTTACTGTGTGTATCAACAATTTTCACATCTTACTGAAGACATTTTTAGCCATTCCTATTCTCCTTATTATTTCTTTTTCATTTCTGCCATCATCTTTACCTGGGAGAAAACTGTCACTTAGTCTAATATTTCTCCATTTACTGTAACATTCCCTCCTGGCTGCTTCTTTTCATTGTTAAAGATTACACTGGTATTTAAAAAAAATAATTTTAATATCTAAACCACACTCTACACTTTGCTAGTTTATTTGGTTCACTAGGTCCCATAACTCCTTCTCACTTTCTGCTAGATTTACTGTGCCATCAGCATATCTCAGACTGTTTATTATTTCTCTGTTGATATTCAGTCCACACAATTCGCCAACTTGCTTTGGAATGTTTTCTGTCCACCTGGAAAAGTCTTGGTGATAACATATCCCTGAGGTATCTCTTTTGTTTTTTGTTTTTTTGTTTGTTTATGTTTAAATCTCTATCTGTAGTAAGTTGTCAGTTAAAAGTTCCAAAATTATATAGTACCACGGATGTGCAATTCTAAACCATAGACCTTAGATATTTAAATTCACTCATTTGTTTTATCTCTGTGGCACTTACTGTTTTTGATATGGTTTCTGGTTGTCTACCAATCATATTTTCCTTTTTATTTTTTTTTTCCCCTCCAGGATTGCAGTCTGTAGGATTAACATCTCAAGGATGAGAATCAAACAGGTACAAATCCCAGAAACCCTGCTCAACCTATATAGCAGTCATACTGGGGTACCACAAAATGTAAACTGTAGACCAGTGTGGGTTGGTCTGCTATTGTATCGTTATCATCTTTGTCTCTTTAATGCTTATTTCCCTACTTCTCACGCTTATGTTGTTTATTTAAGCACTTATTCATTTTTATTATTTAAACTTTTTTTTTTTTTTTTTAATAAATGCAGAATTTGCATATTATTTGGCACACTGTAGCTAGTCAAAAATTTTTATCCTAGTCATTTACATATGTATAGCATCATTATCATTCTTTTACTACATCAAATTTTGTCTGCTTTCCCTTTTACTTTAGTTTTCATGTGCTTAGAAGGATTGTCACCCTTCCTTTACTCGAAAGGTAAACTGACTGATAACTGACCAACCATGGTCAGTTAACCGTATGTGTTGATCCTTTCTACACACAAATGTGATAAAAAAAATGGTTGACACATTCCATTTTTGGGGACAGCTTTTGTCGAGTTTGCTCTCTAAACAGTTGTGGTCCACGGCTGATGAGATTCTGTCTTCCTGGATAGTGGACCGACGCGATCAAAACATTGTGAGCACAGTGGGGTTGAGGCTACTAACTCTGTTGGTCATCATCCTGCTCTAACATAGCATGGCCACATACTTCTGCCATGAAAAACGCATAGTATCCTGCAGGAAATGCGAACAAAGTGATTGATAATTTACTTGCATTATTTACACATGACAGAAAAGAGGTTAAAATACCTACCTAATTTGTCATGCACTAACACAGTTATGAAACAACTCGTTAACAGATAAATTATAACTAAGCAACAGACTTGTATAAATGTCCATCCTCTATATCAGGGCTATTCAACTGGCGGCCCGAGGGCCAAATCTGGCCTGCCGAATCCTAGCAAGTGGCCCGCCTATCGTTGCCAAAATAGCAAAATGTAGTTATTAAAAAGAAAGTTAAATCAGTAATTGTTTCTGTATATTCTTCAAAAACCAGTCGGCTCAAAAATGTAAATAGGAAGTTTTTGTCGGGAAATACCAGCACAGTCCTGACAGTTATAACTTAGATTACAGAGAATCTCTCCTTAATGGGCGCCACAAACTAATAACACTGGATGCAGCAGAACATCAGACACTGGACATGGCAGAATACCTGCTAGTGATCTGGTTATCAGATTGTAACGTCTGGAAAAACATCCAGTCACATACAAGTCACAGTCAGACGTAGATTGCCGAATGTGATTGTGCAGTAACAGACTGAATCAGTAACAGTGTTTTAAATTATCTACTTTTAATAATTTAGTTAAATACTTGTTGCTATGGCTGGCACTAGTAAGCGAGCAAAGGGGGAATGTGAAAATCGTGCATTCAACAGTGATTGGACTGAAATAGTTATTTATATCACCAACTCTGCCTAATTCAAAACCAGTATGCTTGCTATTTTACTTCTTCAACACTGGACGCGACAACCTTAACTGATCGAATGATACAAATATTTAAAAATTCTTCAGAATAATTTCAACAACAGATTTGACGACTTCAATGTTCCAAACAATGTAATGTTATTTGTTCGAGATCCTTTTAAAATACCTCCTGCGTGTGATTTTTCTTCCAATGCTAAGAAGTTGAAATCCTCTGTTTATGAAGGTTCTCTGCAGTTAGAACTTGTGGATATCCAAAGTTCCAGCGCAATGAATGAAGATTTTCAAGAAAGTGATACTGCTGAGTTTTGGTATTAGGGGATTCAACAGAAGCAGTTCCATAATGCTAGAAAAGTTGCTGTATTCATACTCGCCATGTCTGGCTCAACTTTCACTTGTGAATCAAGCTTATCACACATGAATGTCATCAGGACATATAGTCGGAGCTCACTCAGCAATGATAGGCTGCAGGATTGCACATGAATTGCTCTAACTTCTCGTCAACCAAATTTAGTATAATTAGCTCAAAAACGAAAATGCAGCATTTTCCATTAATTACATTTTGCATCGTTATACTTTCGGTTTCTTCTGCAGAACATGAAACCAACAGTGGACAGTTATTATTGTGACAATGTAATGGAAGTGACAAAGGTAATGTTTATTTATGATCCCAACGACAAGTTGGAAATACGTGTATTTCAATTAAAATTGATCCCTGTGTGGGGTCCTGGGGCCTATTGTAGGAAAATGAGAATGAACCCACTGTCTACCCAAAAGAATGTTGCAAGAGTCGACTTATTTGGAGCTTCCTTCGAAGTCGGAGTATATCTGCCTGAGAGCCAAGGAACCTAGTCTGCATGCAAATGAGTAAGACGTGTAAAACGGATCTGTACGCAACACTCAGTTTCTGGAACAGGACTAGAGTCCAGAAGTAGACATACAACCACAACTTTCCGCTGAAGTTTACAGCCGGTGAATACGAAGAAGAAGAATTAAAAGTGAGTATTAATTATTCATTACAGAAGATTGTAGTACACTTTACAATATAATGGTTTACAACACTGCTTTATTTATATAGGCTACGTCATAGGCGTAATAGTTTTGGAGTGTATTAAACCTACAGATTGAAAATATTGTCAAATGTAGTGTGGGCTCGGGTCACTGGCCCGCAATGGTCTCCATGTTCAACATTTTCAGTCAGGTCACCACCATTCATGAGTCTACAGGAATGTTAACATTTTTGCATCAAACTAGGTCTCTAACCCTACACAGGTAGTACCTTCAACTACTGAGCTGACGCCCCCTTTATGGTGGTGTCATTATCACAAACACTGGTAGAAATTTGGAAATGTTTAACAGCATGATTGCCACCTTTCTGTCTTTCCAAACACCATAAATCAAACTGAAAAGCATATCAAAAATTCCAATTACAAAAATATAAAATACAATACAATAATAATGAGCGGCTAGACGCTCGTCGCGGATCAGAAGGTCGTGGGTTCGCTCCCTAGCGGAGCCGGACTTTTTTTCAAAAATGACCTTGGCTCCCAGGTCGACCCAGCCTTGAGTGGGTACCGGGTGCAGTCCCGGGAAAGTAAAGACGGCCGGCGTGATGCTGACCACATCCCCCATCTTGTGCCGATTGGTCTATAAAAATATAGGTCTAGCCCTATATGCCCTATACGCCTAAAGGCGTGGAAAAGGGTCCTTTACTTTACTTTTTTTACAAAAATAATAAAAATAACATATCACAAGTAACCTTAACAGGTCTTAATTTGAATCAGCTGAATATAGCAATTTAAAAAAAAAAATACATTATGCTGGGGACAATTCTTACACACCAGACTCACAAAATCCTGCATTTGGACTTTTTCTTTTCTAGAACAGCACAGATGGCTTCATCAAATACCTTTTTGAGACCTTTCTGTGTGAGAGCTGAACATTCAAGGTATTTGACTGCACCAATTTCTTTAGCCATTGCTAGACCTTGTGGGTAGGTGATGGGAGACAGCTTCTTCTCACGCAGCTTCTCAATGGTTTCCTTGTCTTCCCGTAGATCTAGTTTAGTGCCAACTAAAATTATAGGTGTGCTGGGACAGGGGTGGCTAACTTCAGGAAACCACTGTGAAGAGGTGGAAAATAGGCATAAGTTACACTATATGCGTAAAATATTTATTTATAACTACTGAAATGCGAAGAAGAAAATATATAAGTGTGGGACATGGAGGGGAAAAAATACACGTTGTGAGGGAGTGAGGAAGACATTTTAAAAAAAAATACAGTAGTCTGAGATATGGATGAGAAAATATACAAGTGGTTTGGGAGTGAAGGAAAAAACATATATACTACTCTGAGTTATGGAGAAGAAAATATACAAGTAGTGTGGGAGTGAAGGAGAAAATGGAGTGAGGGAGAAAACTATGTAGGAGTGAAGGAGAAAACTATGTGGGAGTGAAGGAGAAAAAACAATATAGTGTAGTCTGAGACATGGATAAGAAAATATACAAGTGGTGCTGTGGTGAAGAAGAAACCATATACAGTATGTAGTCTGAGACATGGATGAGTAAATATACAAATGGTGTTGTGCTGAAGAAGAAACCATATACAGTAAGTAGTCTGAGACATGGATGAATAAATATACAAGTGGTGTTGTGGTGAAGAAGAAACCATATACAGTAAGTAGTCTGAGACATGGATGAGTAAATATACAAGTGGTGTTGTGGTGAAGAAGAAACCATACACGGTAAGTAGTCTGAGACATGGATGAATAAATATACAAGTGGTGTTGTGGTGAAGAAGAAACCATATACAGTAAGTAGTCTGAGACATGGATGAGTAAATATACAAGTGGTGTTGTGGTGAGGAAGAAACCATAAACAGTAAGTAGTCTGAGACACGGATAAGTAAATATACAAGTGGTGTTGTGGTGAAGAAGAAACCATATACAGTAAGTAGTCTGAGACACGGATAAGTAAATATACAAGTGGTGTTGTGGTGAAGAAGAAACCATATACAGTAAGTAGTCTGAGACATGGATGAGTAAATATACAAATGGTGTTGTGGTGAAGAAGAAACCATATACAGTAATTAGTGAGGGTGAAGGAGAAAACATATAAAGTAGTCAGAGTGATAGATGATTTGACTGACTGATTTCATTTGATTCAAAAACTGACATTACAGCACTCAGAGCATTCCCATAAGCGCTCAGTCGCCATCTTCAGCAGCCAGCGAAGAGTTCCGATGCTAATGGTGCCAGTAGCAGTCTGATTAAATGTCCGTCTTGCCTTTGAGCCTTGACCATTTGCCAGAACCTCTTGTCACTCCCCCCTGCATCAATCTCACCAGACTAAAAAAATCCAGACAATACTCCTAACCCGTGTCCTCCGCAGCGAAGCATGCCACTCTGCACGAAGCATGCTTGTCCTGATCTTCTTCAGCATGCTTTCTGAGTCAGTTACAATCACGATGTGTGTGTGTCATGTGCTCTAGTCAGTGGAAAGCTGCAGTGACCGCCTCCACCTCCATTCTTAAGCTAGATGTTGTGGTACCATATGCTAGGCTCTCCTGCACCAAACGTCGACCATTAACTTTTACTAAGAAGCCCCAAGCACTTCTTTTGCCTCTTGACACTGAACAGTTTGTGTAAATGATCAAATCCTCTGAACGAGCATTATCTTGAATTAATTGCTGGATTTCCATCTCCTTGGCACCTGCTGGTCAATCTCTGCATTCCCGGCTCAGTGTGATTATGACCCTACACAAGTCTGACTGTTCAGGTGGCACTTTGATCCACTCCTCTCCTCGCCTAATGTTCTCAAGGATGCAAACCTGTCTGATTGTGTCTTCTGTCTGAGCCATCCATGACTTCTCTCTTATCAGCCGCTGACCCTTAACTGCACCTAGAGCTCCATGCAAAGGGTGGTCTGTGTCTGCAGTTACCCTGAGATATGACTTCGTCTGCAGCACCTTGTGCATACCTGCAACAGTCGGCAAACCAAGGATGTATTACATGCACACCACAGGGGTGTATCTGGTGCAACCCAGAATGACCCATATAGCTGCGTTCTGTATGCTCTCTAGTTTGTCCATCTGACTCTTTGAGACAGTAAGAAGTCCCAGGCCATAATCCACCACTGAAAGGATCAGGTGCTGATATAGTGTGAAAAGCATTCTCTGCTCTATGTCAATTGCAGCCATAGTCTTAAGTGCACTAAGTCCTTTTTAGCATCTTGTCAAAACACTCTTCACATGGTCCTTAAAGGACAGGCTCCTGTCAAATGTAATTCCCAGATACTTCAGTTTTCTCTCTCTATTGACGTTTCTACCATCTATCATGAGACTTGGGACATTAGCTTTTACGATTCTAGAGAACACCACAAAACAGACACCTTATCCAGGTGGACGCCTGCCCTCATTTCTGTGCACCACTCAGTCACTTTGTGATGGCTGAGAAAATATACAAGTGGTGAGGGGATGAAGAAGAAAACATAGTCTGAGACAAGGATGAGAAAATATACCAGTGGTGTGGGAGTAAAGGAGAAAACAATATACAGTAGTCTGAGACAAGGATGAGAAACAGAATATAAAAAATGTGGGACATTATTGGCATCTTTCTGACTTTCCAGATGATAATGCTATACTCTGCTGCTATAGGAAGGCATGGCATCACTGCCCATGGTGATGGCGAGTGTGACTAGCAAGACCTGCTCCCATTAAAAAAAGACTTGCAGAATCAAAGCATGGAATTTCAGGACCATTGATGACAGCACATGTATTTAGTGTGCTTCTTCTCAGATGCTCAAAGTATGTAAAATCATTTTTTTCCCTCATTCCCTCCCTGATCCTCCATGAAACACGGTCTAGGGTGTTTTGTTCCTGTGAATCTACCTCACTACCTGTATCATTCATGTGCTGCTTTTGTTCATTTGTATACCATCGCAGAGGTCGACCTTGACATCTACCCATCTGTAATTAACCACAGAAGATGTCCTCTAGCCTCCAGGTGTGCACCTGAGCCTTCGTAGACCGAGCCTTGAAAAAAAAACTTGTGGTACCCGCTCTTTACAATACCTCAAAAGTGTGTGATCTTGAAATACCACTTAATGCAAAGTATTCTTCTTCGGCATCACATGTGAAAGCTTTCTCACAGTTTTTCCTGATGCAAATAAGTTGACCAAGCTTCACTGCCATAAAGATGAGTGCTGAGAACACAAGCCTGATCGACAAGAATTTTTGTCTTAATTGTCAGCTTTCTGTTCTCCCAACTCGTTTTTGTTAATCTGTTCATTGTTGTTGCATTGCCTATTGTAATGTTGATTTCTTGGTCCTGTGACAGTTTGTCATTCACTGTGGTTCTTAGGTATGTAAAATATTTAACTGTCTCCAGCACTTTACCATCAATGTAGACTGCAGATCTATTATTTGCATCCTGCTTTATGATGGTGTGTGGAACATGGAAGTTATTGTGTTGAAAAAAAAGTATGAATGCATAACATATACTAAAGCGGGACATAGTTAAGGTGAGCAAAAGTGACATTTGGGCAGACAATAATTAACAGATCTAGCAAAAGGAACACCGATCAACTACATAAAATGTTAACACAAAGTGCATATGAAACAGTTAGCATTTTACAAGCTTATGCCATAGGATTACAATTAGAATGCTTTGTTAGTATCACACAAAAGTAACCTTTACCTTAGCTCGAACATTTTCAAAGCTGGTTGGGCTTACCAGTGAGAAACAGATAAGAAACACGTCCTGTGGAAGAAACATGGAGGGATTAATATTTCTTACAAACAGAAGTTTTCTGACATATATATATATATATATATATTTTTTTTTTTTACCAGCAAGCATGCACATGAAAACATATGCAAAATAGTTAATAAAGTGGTAGTACATATGATGCCAGTAACGAGACACTTACCCCTCTTGAGGCAGGGATTTTTACAAACTAACACAGCCTACCAGGGTGAGCATGCAGAATATGGTTAGGTCAGTCTGGTAACACTTCATTCTATTTCTTCAAGCAGTTTTTTAGGCCAGTCACACATGAAGAACAAAAACTGACCACGATAAATCCATCCACCTTTGTTAGCCCATGAAAAACTGGACTTAGTCTCTCAGTCAACACTGCCCGAGGTGGGGCTAACTTCTGTCTTCTGCAGAATCAATTTTTCTTTCCCTTTCTAATGAAAAGAAAAAGCCTCATAGATGTGTGATTACAGAAGAATGCTTAAAATTTCTTGGACAGCCAAAAAGATTAACTCAAATGTTGTGAAAGAAGCGAGAAGAAGCTGAAGACAACTTACCACAAAGATCAGAGGGAGACAGTCACAAATTTTAAGAGGGGAATTAAGAGAGTTATAAGAGGGGAATCCGGAACATGTAACTTCTGGAATATCTGTGGAAAGAGAGATGGAGGAAGCCAATGGGAGAAGATTCTTTTCATGGCATAGTCAGGTGTCTGCACACGAGCTGATGAATGCTGTGGGAGGTCACAAGTCATGGAGAGGCAAGATCACCCACACCCACGCCAGATGGCAAGGCTCTTGATGATAATGGTGATGATGATGAAATGTTAATAAAAGGAAAAAACCTACCGTCTGTGGATATGATAAAGGTCGTAGTCTGTCATATTCCTCTTGTCCAGCTGTGTCCCACAAACCCATGGTGACAGTTTTTCCATCCATTATCATATTAGCAGAGTAGCCATCAAATCTAGAAGAATAGTGCACACATTATTTTATAGTTATACAATAATTAAGAAAGACTACCCATGGTAATGCAGTCTCCTAAATTATCATGACACTGATTCAGAATGTTTTGCCTGTTTGTTTTGGTCTTACCAAGCATGTTTTATACAAAGTATTTGGAGTGGGGGAGGGAGGGGTCCAAATGATCAAGCCATCTAGGTATTTATCTCTCTGCCTTTATCTTGTTCTCTTTCAATTAGTCTTGCCAGCCGTTACTGGGTTCTCAAATCCCTTCCTTCTTATATCCAAAAAACACCACCTGTCTACATCAGCTATATCGAAACAAAGTTTACTCAGGGGTCAAAATGTTGAAAACGGACATGGGAATTGGCTAAATATCCATTCGTCATCACAGAAAAATCATCAATACGATAGATCTGGCAAGGATACGTGAGTCACTTGCAAGCCCTCCTTCGGGCCACATTTAATCTTTCTAATCAGTTTACAACTTTCATCTGTCTCCAGGATAATTGCCTTGATTGTTTTTCTACTATTCCAAGATATTCCTAGCATTCTTCTCAAAACCACATGTCTGCTGTGAGTAAATAGTGTAGTATGTGCATAATACATCTATGTTTATTTTATAATCACAGTATGTGTAGACTAATGTTAGCATTGCTTACACTGTTGGAATGTACTCCACTGGGAAGGTATTTGTTGTATAGCTGATGAGCATACATGTTTTACCCACAGTTCTGTAAATAAAAAAAAGCACACATGCTTTTAACACCACATACTCACACCAAGCACAAAGATAAATTCATAATTTAAAGAATACCCACACACGCAGGCACCTCCAATCCCCCCCCCCCCTTGTGTAATTTTTACAGCAGAACTGCTACATTTGCGCCTTTCGGCCGACACATCCTACTTCATTTAGCACTTGTTGACTGGGTTAACTTCCGGATAGTTTTGTGGGACAGGGACATGTCGTTTTCTTGTTCGTGTGGTGTTCTCTTTGTCCTTTTATCTACAGTTGTTGCTTCTGGGGAACTCATCCATGGCAACCGCGTGTAGACTGGTCAGCCCGCAAGGGAAGGCAAGAGCTGATCATGGGCACTCCCTGCCATTCAAGGAGGCTTCCATAAATGCAGAGCTGACACCTGATGCTTTGGTCTAGGGCTCACCCAAGTAATCATCATGGCCTATACATGACTGCTTAACCTCACATCCACATGTTGAGCTGTCCACTCTTCATGGGCTGTGCACTTTAAAGATCAGGTCCAGGATTTCAATGACCACACTAATAGGTCTATTCTTCCTGCACCCGTTAGACACCTTTAACACTGTTTCACCTGGACATGTAACACAACAGTATGGAAATAATCTGGGTTGTTATAAGTGGATATATACAGTTTTTTTTTTTATTGTAGCAGAAGGCATGGTACCAGGAAGGAAGGGCAGGAGCTGACCGATATGAAGATGGGCACAGGATATAAGTGACTCCTTGAGTATGAGGGTGCATGAGGCGGAAGAGCTAACAAGAGACTGAGTTTCTTTCAGGCAGACTGTGATGAGAGCGACATTCTGCAAAGGACCTGCTACATGATAATGTTTTAAATTATATATGATTGCGGGAGTACAGACTGTCAAGTTCAATATATTTCAAGTGTACTTTTAAACAGTTATAGTAATTATATTGTGTAGTTTATCTTTGCCGATATTTAAAGTGATCTGGGGCACCTTGTTCTATCTCAATACATATCAACATCTCATATGCTAACCCCTGTTCTGTTGATGTACTGTTTAATCCTTCCTTGTAGTTCTCTAGAGCCATCTACTCGCAACATGTTTTCTATAGTTATAGGCTTACTGCAGTGAATCATATATATACTAAGGGGAGTCCTCTGGAGTTTATATTTCTTGCAATAGAGTAAATAATGTTCAATATTATATGTATCTGATATACAGAACATGTGTCTTCTGCTATAGTGAAATAAGCGACTCCAGTTTGCAGTCTTAGTAATTTATTACTGGAAGAGATTTTTTAGTTCACCTGTTGTTGGACATTTTTCTGTTAAAGCTTTAAACAATTTGTAGGCATGCCTTGCCTTTAAGTTTCCATTCAGCATCTTTGTCCATTCTTCTGTTAATATGTGTGTGTTAAATTAGTGAATAAAACCATCCTTACTTATAGTTACATGTATTTTTAGTCATTTATTATGTGTTTTCTTGCTTCTCTGTCTGTCATTTCATTGCCCTTAATTCCCACATGTGGGGGTACTCACACAATTAGTATTGAGCGTCTTCTTGTTTTTAGATAAGATTTGGAGAAGAGTACCTCTTCTGTGATGTTGTTTCTACTACATATCTTGCTATTTTTAAGAGCCATAACTGTAGATAGTAAAAAAGTAAGTAAAGGACTCTTTTCCAAGCCTTTAGGCATATAGGGCTAGACATATTTTTATAGACCAATCGGCACAAGATGGGTGATGTGGTCAGCATCATGCCGGCCGCCTTTACTTCCCGGGACTGCACCTGGTACTCACTCAAGGCTGGGTCGACCTTGGAGCCAAGGTAATTTTTGAAAAAAGCATCACCAGGGAGAGTACCCACAACCTTCCGATCCGCGGTGAGCATCTAGCCACTCTGCCACAGCGACTCCCACTAGGGAGAGAGTTAAAACAGTCAACCTTCGTGGAATATCATAAACCATTTCAAAATACAAATGATAGCAACATGAAATCCCATGCTATCATTGTGGAAGACTTTTCTTAATGCTGGTGGGGCTTGCTAGTCACACTAACCATTTCCATGGGTTGTGAGTCCCATGCCTCCTCATAGCGCAAAATAACACTATCGTTTGGAAAGATGGAAAGGTGCCATCTACAACAACATGATTTCAAGTGTTTCAGTAAGCAACCACTTCTGTTGCAAATATTGAAATGCTGCTTGTCAAGCCGTTCAAAATTTTTTTTTTCTTTATAAATTTTTACTCTTGGATGTATGATCCAATTTCTAACCCTTTTTCTCCTTTTGAACCATCTGTATCATGAAAGGCCAACCCATACAACAAATGCCTGCAGAAGTCTGATGTGCTGGCCAAAAGGCGCAGATAATTTAGCCATGCTGTTAACAGGCTCAATGTATTAAGGTTTTCAGATGAACACAGAAAAAGAACTATCTGTAAACACAGTCAGATTATCTTTGATGTATTTGACTAAAGGCACCCCCCCCCCCCCCACCCCTTTTCTGGTACTGCCTTCTTATTTTGCTTAACAGCTAGTTGATAGTCAATTTCTGATTTTACAGTTTCCCATGGGGGAACAACAGGGTTGTGCTTTTTAAGTCTGGGTAATAACATTCTGTAGGTTTCTGAATTTTTAAATTTTGACATGCTATTACATATGGTTGTTAGCTTATCTGTATTTGTTACATTTTATTTAAATCCTCATTTTCTCATCACTTTGACACTTTTTTTACTTAGATATGAACTTCTTTGTATAGTTTAGGGATATGTTTTCTATCCTCAACAAAACAGCATACTGTAGTAGTTTATTTTTAATATCTGTAAACTCTCCAAGACCACTGATCATGATGGATTACAGTACAAGGAAGTTAAATTAAATTTTATAAATATCTATATATATACTATTGTAACTATTACCTCTGTTGTACATGATATTTTTTAAATTATAGTTTTACCAGCTGGCCAGGAAAAAATGGGAAAAGGGGTGGTGGTGGGGGGGGGGGTGTTGGAGTTATTTAACTCTTTGAGTCCCAAGGCACGCGTCACGCGCTGATTTGTTACTACCTAGCGGCCCAAACAGCGCATGATGTGTGATGGTTTTTAATTTACCACTTATCGGTAATTACACGCGAACCGCTCAATTTAAACTTCCTTTCCGGTTCTCAAGTGTGTAGTGAACACACGTGGAGTGCATTCGTTTGGGTCTGGTGAGTTTTTAACGCTTTAAATCGATATTTGTGTGGTCTACTACGTTACCAAACAATAGTCTGAAAACAATATGTCCGATCAGTCATCGTCTTCACGCCCATCAAAGCGATTTACTGCTTTAGAATCATTAAATATGATAAAACAGTGGATCGATTAAAGTAATGTGGAGGTTGATAATGATAGTAGCGACGTGAAATTTCCCCAAACCGTTGACGAGTCAAGTTTTGATGAGGATGTGTGCGTAATTTACCTCCTGCTAAGAGGACAAAACTGACTAATTCTACCATGGCAACACAAGAGAAGCACCTCGTAATGCGAAACCAGCTAGTCCAAATGTCAGCACTTCTAGTACTACTATCCATATCGTCTAAAACCATAGATTTATATCTATGAACAGGTTGACATGTTTACAGTGCCTTTACAGATTTTTCTATGTGAGGAATTCAATTGTTTTTAGAAAAGTCACTGTTTGTGCCACTGGAGAATATATTTTTACGTGTTATGGTAGTGTTATTTAAATTGCTATGGAACAACAACTATCGCACATTTTGCTTCAATATTGGCTGTGCTTACTTATAAGTGGTGTACCTTCCTTTGTGATGCATTTTGGATATACTATATCAAGAATTTTGGGATCAGCTTCTGGGTAAGTGAAAAAAACTTGTTCATAATTTGCTCACCTCTCAAACTAAGTCACTGTTTTCTCTACTAAATGCTAACTAACAGTATAATTGTTTGTTGTAGCAGTATGCTAATATTAATCCTTATCCATTTATGTTTAATTTTATGTATGATATGTGTATGTTGGACATCAGCTGCAGTTGTGTGGTTTGTTTTAAAGTGCTGCATTTGATAAAAGTCAAAATCAAATTACCCCCCCCCCCCCCCCGCCCCCTTTGGGCCTGTGATGCAAAACCCCCTGGGACTCAAAGAGTTAAATATGTGAAAAGTTAAAAAATGTTGCTTTCTGTTTTAAAGGGGGAAAAAGCAGGCATGTATTCAAACTAAATAAAAGTTGTGTGTTTAAGTGTAAGCTAGCGAAAGCTACCCAGTTTTCAGATAGGAATGTGTACAGTTTTGCAGGAAATGACTTACCCATCTCCTACAACTACACATTTGATTCCCAGCATCTCTGCAGGATAATTTACAAACTGAAGGCTAAAATAGGCCTAAACCAGACTGAAAACCCACAAGTCTGAAGTATTTTACAAGGATGCTTCCGTGTTTGTAGCCCAGTGCAGGATGTTCTCAGTATTGTCCGGTAGAAGTAATAATAGACGTATAGTATTAATAAGTATTATTAAACTAATATATCACTCGAACCTCGGCTTAGAATTGAGGTATAGACAAGAATGAGCTACTAGTGACTTGTAATTTTCAAGAGCCACCCACTAAGCTAGTCGCATTATTAAATAATACAAATATTAAAACAAACAAAAACATATCTCGATTTTAACCGATGCTTTCCGAGAAGCAGCCTGAAAAGTTGATGAAAACAGAAATGTCAATAAATAGACAAAGTAATAGTAATAGTATGAATGAATGAGTATAACTATAACAATTTCATATTAAGAGCATCCTATTTAACTCTCAGTTTTATCATTCAATGTAGAAAGTGTCCACTTATTTTCGCAGTACATTTTTGCTATTTTATGTATCTTATAATCATTTCTTTCAGACATTTATGCAATTTGTATCATGTTTGAAATATTGTCCGAGCGTAGGCTCTACAACGTCTGTGGCGCTTACAGCAAACACAAACAAATTCGTTAGTTATTATCTGAGTATTTAAATCATACGTTTTATATCATTGTAGTTGATTTAAAAATGTATAAATTATATGGTTTATCGAGCATCATTAACAATGAAATATTGTCCTAGCGCAGATCCTCCAAAAGTATGTGACGCTTACAGCAAATACAAACGTGAAGACAAGCGAAAGATGTCACATTAATATACTTCATCTACCGTTCTACACACTATTTTTCTCCTTCTTCAGCATTCTGGGCCCTCGAGGTTCATTGCTGCAAATATCAGCCACATCCACTCACCTCTGTGGTCATCCTTCTATTTCTAGTTGCTGACTCCAAATGTTTGTAGGTCTGTCTGGACATTATCTCTCCATCTTCTTCTTCTTCTTCGCGTTCACCAGCTGTACACTCTGGCGGAAAGTTCTGGTTGCTCGTCCACTATTGAACTGCAGTCCTGCTCCAGAACCTGAGTGTTGCGTGTTCTTGGTCTACTTTGTGGTCTATGTCCATTCAGCACCCCTGCGTATACAGTTTTTAACCTCTCTGTCATCCGAAGTTCTCTCAATATGCGCCAGCCATTTCAGTCTAAAATGTCTCATGATGCCAGTGATCAATGGTGATTTAAACAGATTATGAACTTCATTGTTGCTTTTCACTCTCCATTCCCCGCTGTTTGCATCGTTGATGGATCCAAAGATTCGTCGTAAGTCTCTGTTTAGGAAAAAATTGTAATAAGGCTTCATCTTATAACTTTTAGTTGTGTTCCAAGTTTCAGAGCCACATAAAACGACTGGTCTATCAACGTTTTATATATTTTGATTTCGGTGTTGTGAGATAGAGACTTTGATTTTAACAGATTTTGAAGGGTATAGTATACTTTAATCAATCACCCGCCATTCGCAGTCAACTTCTTCGTGTTCGCCGGCTGTTAATTCCGGCGGACAGTTCTGGTTGTTCGTCCACTACTGGACTTAATCTTGTTCCATACCTTGAGTTTTGCAAACCTGTTTTACAGATCTGGCTTACAAGTTTATGCAAATTTTGGTGGCTACTTGCTTCTCACACAGATGCACTCCGACTTCGAAGAAAAACCCCTAATTAGTCGACTCTTATGACATGTTTGTTTAGGGGGTGGGGAAACTTGTCTATTATTTTCCCACTTACAAGGGGCTCTGAACTTACACGGGGGAGGGGGTGGGGACACGCTGCAAACACAACAGAAAGAAAAACATAACGTTCCACATTAAATCCGCAGTTCATTGTTTTGACAAGTACTCAAAACTAACTTGGCGACGGAACCTTTGTATACTTGGTCTAGAGTTTGGGAATTAGCAATTTAAGGGGTTTCTTGTATGGTGGGGGTGAATAGATCCACTGCCCCTAATAAGCCTGTCGTAAAAGGCGACTAATTAGAAGTTTTCTCAAATCAGAGGTGTTAGGAGAAAAAGTTCTTGAAAAAAAAAAGCTTGCGGGATCGCCCCATACTAGACGTCATAGTGACAAACAATTTTACCTCACGCGAGCATCAGTCTGGGATCTTGTAACAATTATGCCATTTGGTCAAGACACAACATGGTGGTGACAGAAAGTAAAGGCGATTGGCATGATGATAATCACATCACACATTGAGTGCTGTTTGGTCTATAAATATATAGATGTAGTACCTAGAATATGCCCATTGGCGTAATATGGTTCTGTACATGGAGCACAGATGTGACAATATTTTATCTTGCTATGTAAAACAGTGGTACCCCAGTAAATGTACTTAATCCTTTCCTGGTCCTTGGACAAATACCAAACCGTACTATACCAAACAAAATGCTAAGAGATGAGCAGGCAGGTTTTCGGTCAAACAGATCCTGTACTGATCAGATAGTCACATTACGTATTATAATAGAGCAAAGCATTGAACTGAACTCACCACTTTACATTGGATTTATAGACTATGAAAACGCATTTGACAGCATTGATAGGGAATCTCTCTGGAAATTGATGGGGCACTATGGAATTCCACAGAAAATTATCAACTTAGTAAAGGCAACATATAAAGACATGAACTGTCGAGATCTTCATGAGGGAAAGCTAACAGAGGCATTTGAAATAAAAACAGGTGTGCGACAGGGATGTCTTTTGTCGCCTCTCTTATTTTTACTGGCTATAGACTGGACTATGAAAACAGTAACTGCTAACACCAAGAATGGAATTCAGTGTAAGTAAAGTAAGTAAATGACCCTTTCCACGCCTTTAGGTGTATAGGGCATATAGGGCTAGACCTATATTTTTATAGACCAACGGCACAAGATGGGTGATGTGGTCAGCATCACGCCGGCCGCCTCTACTTCCCGGGATTGCACCCGGTACCCACTCAAGGCTGGGTCGACCTGGGAGCCAAGGTCATTTTTGAAGAAAAGTCGTCTCCACCAGGGAACGAACCCACGACCTTCCGATCCGCGGCGCGCGTCTAGCCGCTCTGCTACGGCGACTCCCGGAATTCAGTGGACCCCTACAAAACAGCTTGATGATCTGGACTTCGCTGATGATATTGCTCTTCTGTCCCATTCACGGAATCAGATGCAAGATAAATTAAATATACTTAATGCAAGATCACAGCAGCTTGGTCTGAAAATCCATAAAGGAAAGACAAAGATAATGAGAATAAATCAGGCAAATAGTAATGTGGTTTCTCTTAATGGCACCCCACTCCAAGACGTGGAGTCGTACACCTATTTAGGCAGTAATGTAGATAAAGATGGAGGAACTGATAGAGATATTAAAATAAGAATACAAAAGGCAAGAGGTGCTTTCATAGCACTAGGGAATTTGTGGAGGTTAAAAGAAATACTACACTAAAAATTTTTAATTATAATGTCAAATCAGTACTATTGTATGGGGCGGAAACATGGAGAACAACCAAGGCAATTACAAATAAATTACAGACATTCATTAACTGGTGCCTGCGCAGAATAGAGAGAATAAAATGGTATGATAGAATAACTAATGTAGAACTTTGGGAGAGAACTAAACAGGCTCCAGTGGATCAGGAGGTGAGGAAAAGACGCTGGCGTTGGATAGGGCACACACTGAGAAAACAGGAGAACAGCATAACTAGAATGTCTTTGCATTGGAACCCACAGGGGCATAGGAATAAAGGAAGGCCAAAAAACACATAGAGAAGAGAGCTGGAGAATGAGGTTAGCAAGATTGGGAGGACATGGGGAGAGCTCCATGCAATGGCGAAGGATAGAACGACTTGGCGTGAGTTGGTTGAGGGCCTATGCTCCATTGGGGAAAAGAAAGGCAGAAGAAGAAGACTATACCGAACTTATTTTCCCATAAAAAATAAAGGCAGAATGATTCATCTGTTCCTTTGAAAAAAAAAAACTATTCATATTATACACTGATGCTGAAGGCATGGAAAAGGGTCCTTTACTTTATATACTGATGTCCTCGCGTGGGTTCCGGGGCCCTATAATAGGGAAAACAAGAACAGACCCACTGCCTACCCAAAAGCATGTCATAAAAGTGGACTAACTGGGAGCTTCCTTCAAAGTCGGAGTGTATCTGCCTGAGAGGTAAAGAACCAACAGTCTGCACACACATGAGTCAGATCTGTCAAATGGATGCACACGCAACACTCAGGTTCTGAAACAGTACAGCCGTCCAGAAGTGGACGAACAACAAAAACTTTCCACCAGAGTTTACACACTGTCAATGCAAAGAAGAAGAAGAAAATATATTGATGGGGTTGTATAAAACAATGTATATACTGCCTAATACTAAAATACATAAATCATAAATACAACAGCAGTTAGATTACAGACATTGCTATATGGCTTGTTTGGGCTTCGTTGGAGTGATACTTCTCTGCAAAGTTATTGACATCTATCCATGGCTTTGTCTCAAGAGAGGTAAACAAAGATAGTGCATGGAGTCGTGACTAATTTTGACTCATACAAATTCATTCCAAACAAAGATCATATACCAAGCAAAAGTGTTTGCGTCTAGACAGGACGCAGAGCAAGTTAAACGTGTACCAAAGTGAACATATACACTAATACCACTGTAGAAAGAAACTTTACACATGTTCATGAATAACCAGTCAATCAATCAGTTGCCGTCTTCACAATAAAGGTGGCTTGCAATGGATCACCAACATGCCCTGTCTCTCGTCTTGGTTGTACACCTCATACTAATGTCTGTACACCTCCTGATGTTATTCTCCCACTTGAACCACTGTCTACCCCTTGAATTCCACTTTCTCTAAGAATATGGTTTTATATGAATTTTTTATTTTTAAATGAGGCCATTTCATTTGTCTCTTCTTTATTTCTTTCAACAACCCTCTTTCATCACAAGTCTCTCCTGAACCTATGTATTTT